CTGAAGGCTGCGGGAGGCAGCGCCGAGCAACCGGTTGGTTCCGGCTCAGCCTAAGCGGCCGCGCGGCCTTACTTTCTTCCTCAGGAACCAGGCGCTGCCGGCTTGAGGCGGGAGCTCCTCTGGCGCGATCCAAGTGCGCTGACTGTTTGTCGCGCCTCAGGTCTCCGGGGGCGCCCAGCGAGGGCCGCCACCCGCACCACAGTTCCAACCCCCTCCGCTGCCGCAGCCGGCAGTCACCCGAAGCATTCCCGAGCCCTGCACTGCGCTGCGTGCGATCGCCCGGCAACGAACGTGGGGCAGGCCAGCCGCGGGCTGGACGCTGGGACGCACTCAACCTGGTGGGCCCACACTGAAGCCATGCCCCAGGTCAACCTGAACGTGGCCTTCACTCCTAAAACTGCTTTATGAGCCCTGTTGCTGTTTTAATTTTAAGACCTACTGTCCTTAAAGTGGGTCGCCCCCCCCCCTCCAAATCCGCCTTTCTCGTACCCTATTCCTCCTGCAGGGACACTCCTCATCCATTTTATTGTTGAAGTTGTTCTTCAAATACTATTTCGTAAGAAAACCCATCTTAGGATGTAAGACTTGTATCACTTGTTACCCTCTTTCCTAGTTCCTTTCAGGGATTCTGAGGGTCCAAGTGTTAAGAGATGAGGCCTGTAGGAGGTGATTAGGTCATGAGGGATTAGTGCCCTTATGGGAGAGGTTTGAGCTTTTTCTCTGCTTCCTAGATGTCACCAACTGAGCGGCTTTCTTTTGCCAGGCCCTTCTGCCTCAATGTTCTTCCTTACCTCCAGCCCAGTTTATGGAGTTGGCTGACCTGGACTGACTCTTGGAAACCCCTCATCAGATAGATTTCTTTTTGCCTTACTCTGATGACTTTGTCATCCCCTGACTGTTAAGATTAGGAGTGATTTCAGCTCCTAAAGATGAAGACTTAAACCAAGAACGATTACCCGTGATTGCTCACCATTTACTAAGCTCATTCATTTGAGGAAGGAAGATGTCTCTGTAAATCTCAAGTAATGTTAATTTTGGAGGGGAAAAAAATTTTGCCTAAAATGGAAAGGAATACACTTGAAACAAATATGTGTATACAAAAGATTTATGAAAAATCAGCTAAGTAAGCTTGATATAAAAGACTGGGGGGGGGATTTGCCCCTTCTACCATGTGAGGGTTATGGATGGTACTGAAGCCAGATTTAGACAGGCAGATAGGCAAGGGTCTATCCAGAGTTTGGAGAAATTGAAATGCTAATGTCTTCAGAGCCCTTTATCCACCCTTATCCTTATAACCAGCACTGGGCCCCCTCCAAATTGTTGCTAAGGTAACCTATCCCAGGGATTGTCCTTCTCCCATAGGGAGTTGTAAAAGTTGTTAATTAATTTATCCTGGGCCCCCTTCCTGCCAGATCACTCCACATTGACCCCTTGGGCCCAACTGCTTTTCACCTTTTGGCCATCCCACCTACCATTTCCTGGGCCTAGTCATGTTTGTAGGAAGAAGAAAGATAGGGTGAAGGAGCAGGAGAACAAATGAAGCCTAGCACATATAAAAAGCCAGAATTCCCTCACTTCTTGGGATACAGGATAACAGCTATGGTTCCCTTCTCCTTCCCAGAGAAGTTTGTGATACCCCTTTTAAAATAAACTCTGCTATATATGCTTGCCTTGGCATGCTTCTCTAATGGCATACTTCAACATGTGAGGAAGTAAAACTCACCAGTAATCTATGTTATCAGTACCAGTCCCATTTTGTCATCCGTACAATATGGCAATCTGAAACAATGATGTTTACAGAAGAAAGTTATTCACGAGGTGGTCTTGTGAGAAGATGAGAGAGCAAGTCTCAAATATGCCTCCCTGAGAATAGAGTTTAGGGATATTTATGGTCTGTGGTGTGGGGAAAGGTGATTAGAGATTGGGAAACAACTGGTAATTTAGTCATGATCAATAGTTATTATGACAGCCCATGTGTCAGAGGCATTATCTACAGCTTAACAGTGTTGATTTTTAAAATAAAAAAGCAGGTAACTAGGAGCAGGTGAAATGGGTTAAATCTAAAAGAGCAAATTATAGCAGGTGAAGCAGATTAACCCTAGAGAATTTATTAAGGTTTCTCCTTGATTCCATGAGAATGCTGCAGGAAGGCACCGTATTTAGAACAGAAAAATGAGCCCTCTCCAGATGGGATCTGCTGCTTTGATTTCAGACTTCCCAGTCAGCTTTGTAAGGAATACATTTCTATTGTTTAGAAATTATCTAGTCTAAGGTATTTTGTTACAGCAGGCTGAGGAGTTTTGTGTAATTTATTTTCTGTAGCTTGGTGTTAATATAAAGGATTGTTCTACCTTTAGGGTTGAAGGGTAGATGTAACTGCTAAGTAGTCTATGAGAGAAGGCAGAGTTGGAAGACAATAGAGAAGCCCTGTTGATATTCAAAATAATATTGAATTCAGATTATGTTACAGGGATTCTGCTTATTGAGCACTAATTTGTTTTCTGTCCTGAAAACAGAAAGGCCCACTGAAGACAGACTTCATATTTACATTTTCTTAGTTAGTTGCTTTTCTTTGTAGGACAGAAATTGCAATAAGTGATTTTCTTAATATTTATCTTTTAGTTATAGGTGGACACAATATCCTTATTTTATATTTATGTGGTGCTGAGGATCCAACCCAGTGCCTCATGCATGCTAGGTGAGCACTCTACTTCTGAACCACAACCCAAGCACCACAATAAGTGATTTTTTTTTTTTGAAAGAATGGTGGGGCAGGGGAAAGGCACTGGAGTGGAAGAATGAAGGAGGGAGGGTGTTAAAAAGGTCCCAGGGTAGAAGTTCCCAGAGATGGGATAAGGCTGATTCTTTCTTCCTAATCCGTAGTCCTTCCCTCCCTATTTTTCTTCCTGGTTCTTAATTTTTTTAAAAAATTTTGTTATTGACAGACCTTTAGTTTTTATTCATTTATTTATATACAATGCTGAGAATCAAACCCAGTACCTCACATATGCAAGGCAAGTGCTTTACCACTGAGCCACAACCCTTGGTTCTTAATTCTAAGAAACAATCCTGAGTTGTTGGGCTAGGACAAGGATCCCCTGATTGGGAGCAGCTCAAAAATATTGTTCAATGAAGATGTTGCTTAATGATCACACATCATTTTTTAAAATATTTTTTGTTGTTTATGGACCTTTTGTTTTTATGTGGTTCTGAGAATTGAACCTATGCCTCACACATGCAGACAAGTGTTCTATACTAAACCACAAACCCAGCCCCATACTGTCTTTTAAAACTCAAGGAATCCCACTATCTTTTACAAGACCAATAAGGTGTAATTTAATAAATGCTTATGCCACTGCTTCTAGTTTTTACAACAGGCTAGTAATTATATTTATTTTACAAAGAGACACAAAGCCCTTCAGGAGTTACAGGGCTAAGATGAGAAGCCAGGCTTGTGGGATTTTCAAAGCTCATGTTAATAGAACCTGTTACTTGAAAAGTATTGTGCTTGAACAAAAACCTGGACCTACTTGTAAAGGCCTGGGGAGCCCTCCGCCTAGAGGTCCTAGACTTTCAAGTTTGTCTCACCCAAATCTGCACCCACATTAGGTAATGCTATCCACTATTCCTCAGTGGGCTCATTCTGTGGATGGTTTCCTCCCTGGGTATACTTTCTGGGCTACCTGGAATTGAAGAATATACCAATGTGGGCTGCATGTTTTATCTACTCATTACAAAGGACATTGAGGTAGAATATAGTGTTTTTTTACTTGACAGGACTGTTAGGGAAAGAAGTCACATCTAAACAAAACACTGTGAAAAGTAGTGAACTTAAATATGAACCTACTTGTTTAGGTTGCTGGAACTTTTGACTTTTTTCTGAATCTTTCCTTGTTTCCCAGGAGTACCTAGATACTGTATATTCAACCTCATAAACTTCCTCTCACCAACTTGATATAGATTTTTTTCCCCTGGTACTGGGGATTGAACCCAGAGGCAGGAAGTTTCCTCTGAGTTACAACACCAGCTCTTTTCATTTTTTTTTTTTTTTAAATTTTGAGCTGGGGTCTCACTAAGTTGCCCAGCCTGGCCTCCAATTTGCAATCCTCCTGCTTTCAGCCTCCCATAGCTGGAATTACAGGTGTGCATCACAGTGCCTGGCTATTTAAGAGAATATAAAAACACTTCACAATAGCATGTTTCCATAAGTGATTTGGAACAATTGTGATTTGCATAAGTTTTCTCTAAATCTTTCCTCGTATTGCTGAGAACTGTTACTTGCTATTCAGAAACACTCTTAATTATTCTCCAGGTTTGCAGTTCTCCCTCATGGCTACACATTGGCATCACCTGGCCGGGGTGGGGCGTGCAGCTCAGAGATTGATAATTGGCTAGGGGCCTGCAGGAAACTCCCCAGGTGATTCTACTGCGCGTCTAGAGTTGAGCCCCGCTGGCTATAGAAGATTTCGTCGATATCCTTACGTAATCCTTCTTTCCATTCTGTGGCCTGCCCACCCTCTTCTGATCATGTCTGCCCTCCTGGAGCTCAATGTAGGGCCTCGCATTTTGTAGTCATTTGGTAAATGCTGAATGGGAGGGTGATATCAACATTCTTTGGGATCCTCCAAATGTCAGTTGCTGCATAGCTCAGTCAAGTGAAGTGTCGGGAAGTGTTGGCTGACAGCTACCCAGCAAGAGCTCTTGGTCTTGCGAGGGTGGGGTGGTGCAGAGAGGACAGTCTGAGGTGGCCAGGTCTCACTCTCCAGTCATTGCACCAACAAATGTGTTTTTCCGATGTCTCCCGGATAAATGAGGTTCCACAGGAGACCTTTCGCCTAATGCCGCAAGCGTGGGCTGGGAAAGCAGTAGGGGTGACGGCAAGCCCTGAACTGCGCAGCCAGCTCCCGCCTATGGGTGGTAAGCCCCGCCGCCAGCAGCAGAGCCAATCAGCGGTCGCGGGGTGGAGTCAGTCCCTGGTGGGCCGGAGAGAATCGCTACGGCTGCTCTCAGGCAGAGAGTGGGCGGGCCCTCGACGCGCTCGGGCTCGATTGGCCTCCCCTCGGCGGCGGTAACGGTCTGGGAGGCTGGCCCGAATCGGCTGGGCTGGGCCGGCCGGGCGGGGCTGGGCTGCTGGTGGGAGGCGGCAGCTGAAGGTGAGTGGCGCATGGGGCGGCGGAAGGTGTCTGCCAGATCCCTTTGCTAGAGAGCCCTCTGCTAGAGAGCCCTCAGTCCTGGCCCTGCCCGGGCCCTAGGTGGTCGGTCCGGCAGAGCCCGCTCCCCAGGGCCCGGGAGCCGCCGCTGAGGGTGGTTCGCGCTAATGAACACCGGTGTGAAGGTCTGGGGGCCGCGCGGACCTGGCTGAGCCCCGGCTCCCCAGCTTTTGTGCCTTTGGCTTCGTACTTGACGCCTTTCTTTGTAGCATAAAGGTGGTCATTCTTGGGTGGCGATTGTGAGAATTCAGTGAAGTTCAGAATCGCACCTGGCCCGGGGGGGTCCCGGCTGGGAGGTGTGACGGCCGGGCCTCCGGGACGGTCCCAGGAATGGGGGATCTGAGCATCCTCTCTCCTGCTTTTTAGGCTCATCCCGGATTCCGGGGAACGCAGACTTTATTGGGAGTCTGTTTTGTTTGGATGTGGGGAGGGGGGAGTCAAAAGGCCGAGAGAGACCCCTAACAGACCAACCAGAAGGGGTTTGGGGAGTTTCACTTCGTTTCTAATCATCATGATTTTTAACCCTGCAGACAATACCCATATCGATTTCAATCCTCCATGTTAGTTTTTTTGTTTATTTTACTTTGAATATTGCCAATTAGACGTGTGCCACCTCTGCCCCATCTTTTAAGAATTAACTGACTTGGAGTTTTACAGAGTGTTTTTTATTTTAGTTTTTATTTTTGCCTCACAGTAGAAGAGGCCAGTTCTAACTCTTTCTGGAACATGTTCTGGGACAGAATGAGATGATATCCAGTCCTCACTCTTTCCTTATTTGTTGCGAGTTAAACAGCAAGTTGGTATATTTTTGGAATAGTTTTTGTATATAGAGAATAGAGACTTTAAAAACATTCATTTATGAAGTAATTTCAAATAAATATATACTTTTGAGAAAGTTTATAGATTTATGATTTGAGAAAGAACGGTTACTGATCAGGCTTATTTCCGTCCTTTTGCCTCCAAAATGTTAAAAATAATTCAATTTTAATATAGGTAGATGTTACAGGGGCTTCAGATATTTAAAAGTAGTTTAACCAAATGCTCTTGGGAAGCATGGGCAGTACCAGGATATACATTTTTTTACACTTACATATCATGTACAAACCAACTTCTACCCCACAATCCCTTACTCAGAGTCTTTTAGGTGTGTCACACTGATGAAAGCTTACAGCTTCTACCTTGGCCCTGGGAAGCATTTGGTTTCTTCCTGTGACTTTCAGTTCCAAATCTGTGTCCTATTATAGCCTTAAAAGGGGAAAAGGCTACTGTAAAATATTATTCAGAATAGACTTCTGAAAAGGAGGACTGAGCACAGGTGCAAATGAGGAGTAGTTTTTTTTCTTGCATTTGCTTTTGTGATCACTGGTTGTTTGAGAATGCTTCCTTTTAATTTGCTTGCAAGTGAGAACATCCTATCCATTTCTTTTGAAGCCAGAAATCAAAATGTTTCAACAAAGCAGGATGAGGAAAGGTATGAAAGGGGAGAAAAAATGGAGGAGTCATGGTGGTGAGCCATTTAACCCTGGGACAGTTATTGCATTTGTTTAGCCTTTGGTTAGCAGTTCTGAGTACAAGGGGTCCCTGTCCTGGAAATAACTATGCAAGACCCTTCTCAGTAATAGGTTGAACATTTCAAGATTTTGGTCTGTATATTTTTGAACCTAGATGAAGATCCAGTTTCAGACATGAGACTCACTGAGAAATAACTTCATTGAGATCAACTTGAGTGATTAGATACCAAATGCAAGAGGAATGTGCTATGACTGAGGTATGTCTAATGTGACAATTTTGTGAGATTATGGGAAGGGTCTCATATTTATTGAATACTGTACTAGATTTGTAACATATTTCCTTTTGACAATGCTATCATTTTAAACTCAATAAGGAAACTGAGGTTCAGAGAAGTTATATAACTACTTGACATCTATTCTGTGAGCAGGGCACTGCTCTTTGTTCTTTTTATATTAGCTCTTCTAATCTTTACAATGACCCAGTGAGCTATCATCAGTTTTTGATGAGAAAATTGAAGCATAGAGAGATCAGTACTCTGGTTTTGTGGCAGAGTCTATGATGTGAACCAAGGTAGTTTAGCTGCAGAGCAATATCAGCATTCTTGTTTTTTTTTTTTTTTTTAATTTAACAAAATATTGGTTGTAAGCCAGGGGCAATGGGGCATGCCTGTAATCCCAGTAACTTGGGAGGCTGAGGCAGGAAGACTGAAAATTCAACGCTATCCTCAGCAACTTAGTATGAGACCTTGTCTCAAAATAAAAAAATAAAAAGGACTGTGGTTGTGGCTTAGTGGGTAAGCAACCCTGGGTTCAATCCCTAGAACCACCCCTCTTCTTCAAAAAAGAAAAAAAAAACAAAACTTTAATTGAAAAATTATTTATTAAATAAAACAAAAGCCCTACATACCAAGTATATAACTTAATAGTATGACATGATACCACAAAGTTAGGCCAGAGCCCTTCAGGTGCCTAATTTGAATCAGAACTCCTGTGCTTCTATTAGTTGGTATTATTTTTATAATAATCGCTTTGTTAGTGTTTTGTTTTGGTTGGTGCTAGGGATCACTCTACCCCTTAGCTATGTCCCTAGTCCTTCCCTGTGTTTTTAAAGTTTTATCAAAAGTATATAGTCTTGTATTCTATAATGTGGCCTTTTTCATTAAAAAAATTTAAGTATTTACTCTGTGTGGTTTTTTTCCTCCATTCTTTTCTTTTCTTAACAGTTTGTGTGATTAAGAACCTGAATTTTAGTCAGATTTTGCTGATTGTGAACTCAACAGTTTAGTATGTTCCTCTGCCTTCAATAATTCTTATACATTGTCAGCTGGATCCAAGCTGACAATTTTGGTAGTTTTTTTTTTTTTGTTATTGTTGTTGTTTTGTTTTGTTTTTAATGGGATCTTGCCCTGTTGTATAGGTTGGCCTAGAACTCCTGGGCTCAAGGTATTCTCTTACCTCAGCCTCCTGAGTAACTGGAACTACAAGTGATTCTTTTTTTCTATTATTTGTTTTAATTAGTTATATATGACAGTAGAATGCCCTATGATACATCATACATAAATGGAGTATAATTTCTCATTTGTCTGATTGTACATGATATAGAATACTACTGGTCATGTAGTCATATGTACAACTTTGGTGATTCTTTTGAGTTGTGTTTGTTAGAAACATAATGTCTCATTGTCTTTTTCCTTTTGATCTTAGCATGTGTTGATACTTGGTGACTATATCAATTCACTGAGGGTTGCAAAAGGGGGATAGTCTAAGTATCTCTTTCAGTTAAAATATTAGACCCTTTATCCATTATTTGGATACCCAGCAGTAAATTCATAGAGGAAAGGTAGGATAAATGCTTGATTCTTTCTTTTTATTTACTAATTTTCAAGATAATTCATTATTTTTTGAAGACTTAAAAAAAAATCTAACATCACTATAAACTCGAACTCAAATTGTTAAGTTGCAATTCATTGTAATTATTATCTTTATTAAAGCTCATCTCGTCTCATCTTTGGCTTGTGGGAACCTAGTCAAGCCTTTTTTTTTGTTGTTGTTAAGGGATTGAACCCAAGGCTCTTAACCATGAGCCACACCCACAGCCCTTCTTATTTTTTATTTTGAGATAGGATCTCACTAGGTTGTTTAAGGCCTTGCTGAGTTGCTGAGGCATAATTTGAACTTGTGATCCTCTTGCCTCAGTCCCCCAAGCTGCTGGAATTACAGGTGCATGCCCAGCAGCTTAAACCTATCTTTTTAATTTTTTGGTGGTACTGGAATTGAACCCAGGGGCACTCTCCCATTGATCTGCATTGCCAACCCATTAAAAAAATATAATTTTTTAAGATGGGGGTTTCACCATCTCGGAGCCTTGAACTTATGATCTTCCTACTTTAGCTTCCAGAGTCACCGGGATTACACATTTGTGCCCTGGGCTTGGCTAAGCCTAACTTTAGTAATTTGATAGCTTCCTTGTTATCTGATAACAATTTCTGTCCCAGAACTAAAAGATAGCCATGTAACAGAAACATGTTTAAAACAGAACTATTTGCTCAGTATCATGGAAAAGTGCATCAAAAAATTAAAGAAAAGATAGTGCAGTTGACAGTATAAAACATGGAGAAAATGCACTTATTTTGGGAGTGGGTAATACGTAGGAGACTTTGGGCCTATAGTTGCATGGACGACAGATATTTAAGGGTGTCACAGAGCAGTGGTGTCTGTTAGACCCTGTTGCAAGGTTATACTTAAAATTGATGTTTTCCTCTTGTTCTTGTATAAATAGAGATATATATTGGTGATAAATGAGTGAAGTGGAAAGACCTTAAAAAAAATCATTCTTAGAACAAAATGACATGTCTATTTGGCAAGGATATTTAACTTAGTGATTTAAATCCTAAACTATTTTTACGACATAACAAAACCAAGTGCCTCAGTTTTACCATTTGGCCAATCCCCTTACTTTTTCTTTGACCTTGGGTTTCTACATTTTTAATTTTTAATTTTTCATTTTTTATCCTCCCATTAATGCTATTAGTTCTACTGTTCATTGGCTGAATTTATGGGCTTGGAGCTGCTAAAAATCTGTTTTAAGAAGTTTTGCTTTTAAGCTACAGATGTACCTGATTCTCAGGTATTGACTGAGAACATTTTGTACCTCTCATTAACTAATTGACTTAATAAGAATATATATCAGGGGGTTGGGGATATAGCTCAGCTGGTAGAGTGCTTGCCTTACATGTACAAGGCCCTGGGTTTAATCCCCAGCACCACAAAAAAAATTATATAATCAACATGAATTACTAGAATTGAACGTCATAAGCATAGTTATTTTATGGTATGGACTTAATAGCTACAATCTCAGAAGTCTTTCTTTGTTGGTTTTTAAAATTTCATTCTCTTTTTTCCTGTATGCCTTGTTTATCTTTGAAAGTTTGTTGGATGTTGTGTATGGGACATTTTTCTGGGAGTGATTTGATGTCTTTTTTCAGAGAGGATTTCATTTGCATTTTCCACTTCTTCAGGATCATCCTGTTAACCTAGGATGATCTTGAAGTACTAGAACAACAAAGAAGAGGGGAAGCCAGGTTTGAGGTTGATGGGAGAGCTAGTTTACTTCTGATTCAACCTTATCCTGAGAGTTTAGCCCCTCCAGGTTATAACTTTAAGTTAGAGTGGCTTTGATCTTTAGCATTTATTTTCACTGCTCTGTGGAACTGGCAGATGCCTTTGGGGAAAGTCAGTTGATGAATCTCTTCATGAGATTCTTTAGCAGCTACGTGCCTAATCTGCATGAGTTTTAAACTCCATAGACTTGGCTATTCAGGAGCCTGATGCAGCCTGTTCTGGCAGTATCAGCATCACTATGTCTTCCAATGTCATAGCTGTGACTACTGTGAGTTGCTGTGGATAAGCATAATTATCACTTCTTCCTTGGTATCTTCCTCTATTTCCTTGAGACCAGTCTTTTCTGAATTGGTCAATTCTTCCTACATTCTTTTCTAACGATTTTACTTTAAGAAAGAAGGAATTGTATCTGTATGTCAGAGACCTAAGGAAAGTTTTTCCTCTCATATGGCAGTTTTAGATAACAAGAACAAATGATGGGTAGGGTAGACTAAATGTTTTTTGGTGACCAACAGAATCCTTGTTGCTAGTTTCTGTTCTACTTAGAAATAAAGACTATCTAAGTAAATGTCACTTCATTTATCCTTGGCATTCAGTGAATTTAGACTGGCCTGTAACTGTAGGCCCAGACACGGTTCTTTTAGATTTTTGGGTAGCAGCTTCCCAAAGATTAGTTCATTAGTGTTGCATCATTTTCACCTTCTCTAGTTAAAATAAATAGTTCCTTTCTCATTTTCATTCTCTCCCCCCTCCCTCTCTCTCCCCCCTCCCTCTCTCTCCCC